GGAGGCTGCCTTTCCAGAGCTCGGAGTAGCTGAGCAGCGTCTTGGACGGCATGTCGTAGCCCAGGGGCTGCAGGGGGATCATGCAGGGCAGCGGCGAGCAGAGGTTGAGCAGTTTCTTGCCCTGGCCGCTGTCTGCCTCCAGGGCCCCCGGCCGGGGCTCAAAGGGCGCACGGGGCTCCGACGTCTTAGCCATGATGCGCTCGATGGAGAAGGCCAGCGTCTTGGAAGTGGCCGGTGACGCTCCGGCTCGGGGACAGGCCGGGGGCACCATGGTCTCCAGGGAAGCCGAGCTGGCCATGGCGCTCCGAGCCGAGCAGACTGGGCCGGGGCGCAGCCTCTCTCCTCTAAGTCTGCATTCCGGAAAGGGCAGGGAGGGAAACCGCCGTTTAATAAGCACCTAGCCGGGTCCAGGTCACCCATTTGCATTCAAATGAACAGGGGCAGAACAAAGTGCACCCAAGGGTACCAAATTACCGCCCGTCAATCCAGCGCGCCAAGGAACCCACCAGCCCTGCCCGGGACTTTCAAAGGGGAGAGGGGAGGGTTTACAAAGGACTAGGAAAGAGAGAGAGAGAAAGGGAGAAAGAAAGAAAAGAGCCTCAAATGAAGCCCCCTGAGCTGGTCCCAAGACCCCGGTCTCCGGCACGCGTGCTGGGAGCTGGACGGTGAAGGGCAAAGTTACAGGGACCGGAGAGCCACCAGGCATTTACCTCTTTCCCCCACCGCCACGGAGATGCCTTCCGAGCCATGCAGCGCGTTGCCTCTGTCACATTTTGATGGCAAACATCTTCCCCTCCGCGTGAGATCACTGTCTTTTACATTCAGCTGACATCACATGAAGTCACTTCAAGTGGAATGACTCGGGCGGCGGCGCGGCTCCGCCAGCGGCCCCTGTGTCCCCCGCGCCTGCCTGCCGCCGCCGCCGCCCCTCAAACTTTAAAAGGAGGCAACTGGCGCCCGCGCTCCCCTTGGGAAAGTGCGAGCGGTTCGCGAATCGGGAAGGAGGGGAGAGATGGGAGGGGGAGGGGGAGGAATCGTGATGGTTTTGCCGGTGGAAAAAAAGGGGGGGGAGCCCAAACCCAGGCAGAGTTCCGTGCGTGATTCACAACTTTGGGGGCCTATAGGTTTGGGGGACGCGGGGAGGACAGGGGGCCCTGGTCTCGCCGTCCCAGAGGGCCCCGGAGTGTCCATCTAGTTGCCGAAGTCTCCCTTCGCCCTCTGCAGCCGAGCTGGGCATCGCGCTAATAAACTGCCATTTACCCACGGAGCCGGCGCCAGCCCCGAACACGCGCAAATGATAATTACCTCATTAGGATGTGGCGCATGGACGCGAGCGCCGCGTTTGGAGGGCGAACTTGTTAATGGGAAATATTAATTTATGCAAAAACAACGAGCTGGCCTCGGCTGGCGTCGGAGGTCGGGAGCGAGCTCCCACCGCCTAAGGACGACCCCGAAGCGTCGGGAAGGGCAAGGCCGCGCGCCCAGGTTCGCCTGGACCAGGGCGACTGGTGGGGGCACCTCCCCCTCCCTGGCCAGCCCCCTGCCTTCGGCTGCGGGAGGCTGCGCGGCCAGCTGGCGGACTGTTTGAGATCCTAATCGATCAGCATCGCTGATTTGTGATCGGGTGTCGGCGGCAAAGCCCGGCTCCGCTGTTGGTTTAGGGCTGCGTGCGGGGAGAATCGGAGGGCAGCTCTCCCCGCCGCTGGGTACTTGCTGTTTGTATAATTGAGAAGGTCCGATCTCCACCTGTTTAAGGAGCAGATTGAAACAGCAGAACCTCCCCTGGATCCTATTAAAACGCTTTTCCTCCCAAGGCCATTCAGTCGAACCAATTTTCCGAAGTGATTCATAGAGCTGCATTCTGCCAGGCAGCTCTTTCACTTTTAGCCACTAAAGCACCGCGTGGAACCGGGTTTTGTGTTTTTCTAAAATAAAGAGAAGGATTATCAGAGGGGAGAGGGAAGGGGCCTGGAGGGGGGCGGGAGAGACTTAGTGTGGCCAGAGGTACAAGCGGAGGGAAGAAAAGGCCCTTTTCTAGACAGGCCCCAACTAAGTTCGGAGGAATTCAGCGTTTTGTGCCTGGCGCACAAAAGCAGCGCGCTCCGAGCCCGGTTTGGAGCCGCTGAATTCATCTGTTTGCAGACCATTCCACCTGCGTATCACAACAAACTGCTCAGAGACGCTCCGGCACTTTCAACAGGACGATGCTCCTGGCGACAACAAAAGTGGTGGAGACTGAGGGCTCTTATGGGGCGGAGGCCGGCTAGCAGGAGAGTGAGGGAGAGAATGAGGTTTGGGAAGGGGGGGCGGGGAGTGGTGCGTGGTGGTGGTTTTTTTTTTTTTTAACTTTTGGATGGTTTTGTTTTGGAGACAATTATATCTTGCCTGCCAGCTTTTGCAAGACCACCAGCTTTGTGGCCGCAACCAGAGTTTAAGAGGATTATGGTGGGTATAATATGAGCAAACAGGGTTGAGGGTTTGACAGTGAATTCCATCTCCAAAGACATGGGATTTTGTGGCACCCAGGAAATGGTTGGTGGACACAAACCCTCTCCCTTTTCACCCAGGAAAGGCCTGGAGGAGCTGAGCATCCCACCCCAGGCCTCTGCTGCAAACCATCCCAGGAAAACCATGAGGGAAACGGACAGGGAAAGGTTTAGCTTTAACTTCAGGCAAACCACTCCTTTTTTCCCTTCAGAACTTCTTTTTCTGCCCACTCCTCCTCTGGGTGTATTTTCAGACAGGATATCCACAGGGTAGGTAAGGAAAGGAAAAGTGTACTTGGAGAGCAAGGAGTAGGAACAAAGAAAGGTCTCCAAGGGACCGCTGCCCAGAGGGGGACTGCTGTGGGTTCATGTCTCACCCTGCCAAGCTCAGAAAGTACCCCCAAATTCTGCGGTCCGGAGTCTGTTCGCCTCAACCCCTTTCCTTTCCAGATTTCAAAGCTAGAAAGGAGCTTATTCCTCTGGAGGGGAACATGTCCATACAGCCCATTTAATTTCGGTGCTCAGAGAGGCAGCATTCCAGACCCAATGTACCCCCACCCCTATGTTAATGTGAAAGCAATAACACAGATGAACGCCCCACCCCCACCACCCCTACTACCACTACCAAAACAAGAAACAAACCAGCAACTCACCCCGGCATTGAAACAGTATCACTACAGAGTCTCAGAACCTGCATTTCTACCCCGACTTTTCTGTGAATCCCATTCAGCCACCAGCCCCGTCCCCAAAGCCCCTTTCCAAATTGGGTAATTGTGGATCTCAGAAGCAGCTTGCGAGGTCTGCTGGTCTGAAAGCTGGATGAGGCTGAGAGCTTCCCGTGAACCTGCCTCGCCATCCCTCCGGCAGAAGCCATCTCCTGCCCGGCACCACAAAGGAGTGCTACCTCCACAGACAGAAAACGGGTGGGTAAAAGCAAGTTGCTCCTAATGTGCCTCTCTTTCCAAAGGTTGGGTGAATGCACTGGCGTTTAGGAAAGTATTTAATTAGCTCCCACAAACTTCTCCTTCCCTTGTCTGCAGATTACACTGAAGTGGAGGGTTGGAAACTATTTTACACCTTGCCACTCACATGTTAATTAATCTCTATCTAACCCTAATTGCAGTTTATTCAAGCACCGCTCAACAGCTCACCCACACAATACGCACTGGTCCTACTTTTATACATATTACTGCACGTTAACACGTTGAGTAATTAACTCCAGTACCAACTAATAGTGCAAACAAATATTTTCTGTAAACGAGATGATTTCAGGCAGAAGAATAGAGGACTGGGGAGACATGCGCTTGGAGGAGGGAGCGCTGAGATTTCACTTTGCTGCCCCCAACCTTCAAACTCCTCCTCAATTGCAGTATTTTTTTTCCCTCTTTAGGGCCAAAATGCTTTATTTTTTTAAAAAGGGGACAACCATAGGAATTAAAATTGCACAATTTTAGGGAGTTGATGGAGGGGTTCTGAGATAATGTAACTTTTTTCTACCTACACATATTCAGTGAGGGAAAAAGTCCAAATAACTCGACATGAAGGGCCAGAGGAAGGTCCAGGGGTAAGATGTTTCAAGAATGTGGATCCATTCACGGAATAAAAAGCTTGCCAACCCCGCCACCACCACCCCCTCTCTAAGTAGTCCTGTCTTTGAAGGCGATGGTTTCCCCGTCAAAGTGAATCGAGATCGTGGTGGCAGACTGAAGCCTCAGTCTCTCTCCCACACTGGGGTACAGCTCCACTTTGGGGGTTCGCTCCCCCAGGTCCACAGCTAGAGCCGAGAGCCAGGGGGCCTGGAGGGCGCGGCCCGGCCCCGCACAGCCCGCTAGGCCTCAGCGCGCTGCGCCGCGGGGACAGGGAACCATTCCCAGGCAACGCCCCTGCAATTTCGGGGAACCCAGGCCCCTGGCGGGCAGCCTCGCCTCCCTGGAGGGAGCGGGCAAAAAGTGGGCTCCCCCTCCGCCCCGAGGACGCGTCCCCGGGCCCATCTCGTTCCTGGTGCAGCAGCCGAAAGACAGACGCTTCCCCGCAGCCCAAAAGACAGACGCTTCCCCGCAGCCCATCTGGCCCGCGCCCAGGCCGCAGCACCGGCTGCGGTGGGGACACGCTCGCTCGGAGGGCAGCCTGCGCTCTCCCCACGGCGCTCAGCCCCGCGCTTCTGTGGCTCCACTGGGCCGGACCCGGACGCGACCTCGGGGATCTGGGGCTGCAGGTCGCCGCACCCCGGCCCCAACCCCTCTCAAAGGGGGAGCCAGGCTCAGCCCCAAGGACTGGAGCTCAGTGTTTTAATTGAAATCGCAGTTTAGGCACAGCTGGCGGCTGTCTGTCCATTTTGCTGGGGCTTCTCTGGTGGGAAGCATATTCAATATGACTGGCCGGCTAGCCTCCCCGCCTGCCCCCTCCCTCTAGCCTTTTTACCGTCGGTAACCCAAACGTTGGAATGCTGACTTTTGGTTTTTTTAAAAAAATTTTAATGCCAGAGATCACCCTCCCGTTAGGACACATGACGGAGCAGACGCCTGGCGAAGGGGACGCGACCTCAGAGGAAAAGCCCCTTCTTGAGCCAAAGCCCACACATTCGCGTCACTTCTGGGTCCCTCAGGGGAAAGGCAAGGGCCTCTCCTCCAAAAAGGTGTCATTCCAGCCCTGGCGGCTTGTAGCTCTCGCTTCTAGACGATATTAATTAAAATACTATCATTATTTTCTCTTCTGATGAGTAGATTGCAACACAGAACGCACCATCCCAGGCCACCCTCCCAGGGGCGAGCCGCGTGGGGGCGGCCGGCGGGCTTCAGGTTGCTGAGTAGACCTGATGTTATTTCCTCTCGCTTCTCTGTAACTTGTTTGGAAAACAAAACAGAAGCCCCCAAACTAAACAAACTTTATGGTTTAAGAAGTCTTCCTCCCACCACCCTCCCTCCCTTCCTTCTTCCTCTCTAAAGGGACATTTAGGATCTGATTTACATGGTGCCGCGCTTAAACGCTGAAAATAGATTAACTCCTGAAGACGAATTCTTCGGCGATCTCCCCCCTCCCACCCCCAGGAAGCATTTTATTGAAAACATTCCAACCCGCTTGCCAGAGGCGGCTGGATCCAGGCGCCAGGGGCCTCCGCCCGGCCCGGGTGTGCACGCTTTGCAGGATCAGCGCGTGCGGGAGACAAAGAGCCCCAGATACCCGGGCGAGGCGAGGCTGGGCGCCCGGAGAGCTCCCGGGCCCCGGATCCCCGAGGAGCGCACCAGCAGCCTCGGGCCTGGCCTAGGGGACAGGTGGGCCAGAGCCGTCGGCATCTCCCCGCGTCCGGGGGAGGCTGGGCGCCCACAGCTAGGGCGGCCCAGCGCCGGGCCCACTACACCCGGAGGCTGTTCTGCAAAGAGAACTGGTTTGTAAAATCAATGCACTGGCTTGGTTTCACCCTCACACAGGGGAGACGCCTATAAGCCAAGGGC